GCTGGTCCTGTCCGCGGCTGGTCCTGGTGATGAAGACGTGTCAATTAATACAATCGTCTTACATCTATACGTACAGTTTGTATTCTTTTTGTGAAAAAATTAAACTGTCACTAAAATATTTTTGCTACTGGTTTAAAAAGCATCAAAGACATTTTTTTAAAGTATCCAAAAAATATGTTTCATCATTTGTCAATTAATACTATTGTCTTACGTCTATACAGTTTGCATTTTTGTTTCAAAATATAAAAAGAGTCGTTATAATATTGTTTAGTACCAGTTTAAAAGGACAGAAGGTCATTAATAAAAAAAAACCTTTCAGTAAAGATACATTTTATCATTCTCTTTCCAACTAAATGCAACAATAAAACTTTTACCTTTAACTCGAAAAACTATAATAATGAACACCGATATATATTTCCCAGACTAATACCTCCCGTAGATGTTCTGTCTGCAGGTGCTCCTCTTGGTGGTCCAGGTGGTCCTTAAGGAACAATCCAGTATACACGCCACTCCAACATCACACTCAAACTCAAAATCAGCAGGAAGCTCTACCCACACCATTCTACCCCTGCAACCTCCCTCCCCCCCCCTTCCCAAAAAAAAAGAAAAACCTACACTGCCCCCTCAACTACCTCCCGCCATGGCCATGGCAATATCTACAAAATTCTACTCTGACTCTAACCTATCCACCTAGCTCCCTATCAACCTATCTGCCTATCTCTACAGCCCTACTGCGTCACTTCAAGCCTGAGTGTGATATATGGAAATCGTAGAAGCAGACCACTTTGATACTTGTTGGACCAGAAAAGTGAACAAACCGTCTGATGTCACCAAACTTTGAACTGAAGGAAAGGGATATAATTGCCTCGTCATCTTTCTAGTTCAGTGATCTCATAGAGTGAAGCAGCTTCTGTACAATATCTGAAACAGTACATCATGCAAAGAATTTTATGTCGTTGAGTCCATGTTTTTACAGCCCTATCAGCACAATTTCACACAAGCTTGAGTAGCAACCAATATCATAAATTGTTCTCAGTTGAATTGATTTAACAAGCAAATATCCAGGTCTTAGGTTAATTTTAAGACTCATTACTCGACATGACCAGGGGCATTTTTTGAGAGACACCTAAATACAAACATGTAATTTGAAGTTGAACTCAAAACTCACAAATTATTGGTACTTTTTAATTTCTAAAGTAATAATTGAGTTATATGTCCTAATTGGGGACGTCTGTTAATAGGGAGAGAGAGAGAGAGAGAGAGAGAGAGAGAGAGAGAGAGAGAGAGAGAGAGAGAGAGAGAGGAGGGAGAGAGAGAGAGAGAGAGAGAGAGAGAGAGAGAGAGAGAGAGAGAGAGAGAGAGAGAGAGACAGAGGCGGGGTGGTTGCAGGATGTGGAATACTGAAAATAGAAATGACTAAATCTGAAGGAACTAGGAGGAAGGGGTTGGGGGGGGGGGTGCAGTTTGAGTAGAAAGAGTGGACAGGAAATACAAGTGAGAGAGAAACAACGGAACTAGCCCAAAATATGGAAAAGGGGAATGAAATTACCTTTCAGTACGCACAATAAGAACGATGAGGAGGAATGGGGAGAGACGAAGAATGAGGACTTGATAATAAGAATTGGAATACGGTTCAATATCAAGAAATACGAAAACAAATAACATACCTGAATATTTGCCAAGATATAATGGAATC